TCTATCTATCTATCTATCTATCTATCTATCTATCTATCTATCTATCTATCTATCTATCTATCTATCTATCTATCTATCTATCTATCTATCTATCTATCTATCTATCTATCTTAATGTCTACTGTCTTCCAGTAGCAGATTTATCTACAATCCATTGCACGCTCACTGGGCCCTGAAATCACCATGTACGTCTCATGCACCTAAACAAAAAGAGACCAGTGGAGCTCCTGGTGCCTTAATTGCATTTCAGACATAAATAATCACCGCAACACATTTAAACTAAAAATCAATACAAAAAAAATATCGGGAAATCATAATAAAATAACAACTTCAGTATTATAATATTAAATTTTTGTCATTACTGTATCTGTTTGATGTGATGATGGAGCCAGTCAGGCTTTGCAGCAGCCAGCTGATTGCTGATTAGTCTGCCGAGCAGACAGCGCAGTGTCAAACAGTTTAAGAAGATTAGCAGGGCCTCACGTTTTCTTCAATCTTTTCAAACAATAATCCACAACAGGCCTCTAATCATTTCAGGAATATCCTTTGGAATGGATTATCAGCAATATGGCTATATGCAGTAATTAGAAAATTAAAATGTTATCCCTTTTGTGTTTTCTGTCCATGTATGTCAACAGTTCCATGTTCTAAATAATCAGATACTGAACTGGAAATGTTATCAATCCTCCTTGTTTCCCCACTTTGTGTTGAGTGTTGTGAAAGCAGATTCAATTACTCCAACTTAAAGGAAATGTTTTAACAGATCCTCTGAGGTGCCCCCAACGGTTTAATGAAATTACAGCGGCTCTCACGACTAATGTCATTCATAGCCCCCCCTGCATCAGCAGATCTCCAAAACCACCTGATTTATTTTTAATGATATTACACCCTCAGTCGACTGTGCCATGGTAATAATCAGGGCTGCTCCAGCTGCTTCTAGATCACATTAGCCAGGCTTAATATTGACAGCGGTGGGCCCAATAAACAATGAAGCTATAGGGAGAGGGAGCTTAAGGCAGCCTAGCCGGTGGGTATCCTGCAGGAGGCAGAGAAGGTGCAAGCCGGGATGCTCCGGTTCCCTGTGCCCTGGAGGACTGGCACCATAATGCAGCTTTTTATTTTATAGTTGGAGCTTTAAACTCCCTGAATCCATACACAATGAATCAAAACCAAACAGAGAGAAGCGTGGAATCAGTGGTAACTTGATTCTGTCCTTTTCTCTCTATCGGATGTTTAGATGACAGCAGCTCAGCAGCTGCACCTCGGGTCGATCCCCGCTGTGACAAGACATTTGGAAAAACTCACGGGGAACGGCTTTGCAGGGCTCACCTTGCAATAAGAAGTTCATCTCATGAACCTTTGATGCTTTATTAATAGAAAAAATAAATTTGTCAATTCAATTCAAAATCTAATCAGCTCACTTTAATTTATTGTTCCTAACATTTGATTTGATTGGGTCAGAATCATATCATTTATTTAAATACAGATATCTCAGTTGGTTTTGATTATTAAAGGCTTTTTATTTTATTCAACAAATGTATTTTTGAGGCTTGTCTAGCTGCTCCATTTGCATAATGGTCACACTGGGATTCAGACTGGGCCACTTGTGGGATATTTACACCTGATCACAGATTTACTGTGGCTCCTTGCCAGTAACACCTTTACTGCTGAATCTCTTGAACAAAGACTCACCTGTATTTGTCCTTTTCATGTTGTTCTTAATCAGTAAGATATCCCTTCATGGTGAATTGGTTTTCTATCTTTTATCACAAATTGTTGTTTAGATTGGATGGTATTTTGCATGGGGGCCCACAGATTAGCGTCGTTGATGAGTGGTTGGGTGTAATCCTTTCAGACCCACTCTCTTTCCAAAACACCCCAGGGATGAACCCATCTCCCCGAGGGCCGGCAGCATGGCAGATGGATCCTTCTCCCCCACCTCTCTCTCTCCCCCTCCTTGCACCATCAAATAGCACACCAAAAACAGTGTTGATGTCCTGGGATGGAGGCTGTAAAGTATCCTGAATCTGAAACCACAGCCACCTTTGTATAATGGATCTCTCCTCACTTAGTGAGAATTGCCCTCAGGCCTGATTCCCATTCTCTGGCCACATTTCTGCTGGACTGGAATGTTTTCCAAAGCCATTAGCGCAAAGAAAGGGGAATAAGCGATAAGCAATCTGCTCATAATGTCAAGATGAAATGCTAGATCTTATCTAAATACACTGCAGGATTTGGCTTCTGACATTATAATTATATGGACATGACATCCCATTTTCTTATATATATATATATATATATATATATATATAAACACACACACAGTATGTTAGTAGAATAGTAAAATCCAAAAAACCTGGGATTATATTTTGAGTAATCCATTCATGAAACTCTCACTGCACTTAATGTTTTATATTGTTTTACAAACCTGCAGGTTGTATAGTTTGTCTGGAAGTTAGACAATAGAAATTCACATTTAACTTCTAATTATGCAGACATCTATACATTTATTACTAGATTTACACACAAAAAATGCACTTTTGTTCCCATAAAATGTATTTTTACATGATGCAACACTGTCAAGTTGTTAAGTATGAAGTTGCATGCAAGGCAACTCCAAAGCTCGGAGACGTCTGAACTAATAAGCAATCAGAGACACAAAGAACATGCATTTGAACTTTGTCAAACAGCATGTAAGGAAAAGAAACAGTTACTTAGCTGGTTCAAAACTCATAATTCACCCAAACTTTAGGCTTGCCACCCCATGGCACATCCCAACCCCCAAGCCTCCTCCATGCCTTAATCAAATCCAAGCTGCCTCCATCTTTTATGATCACTACAAGGGGCTCAGCTTTCAGAAGCAGACCAGAGAGCATGTGCGTGTACTAGAGCTTTAATTCCTATTGTGTTCTTGTGATCTTGGTGTGCGAGTGTGTCTGTGGTTGGTGAAGGAGAGAGAGAGGGAGAGAGAGAGATAGAGATGAAGAAAAAGACAGGAACAAGGACCCATCTGTCAGCATAGTGCATAAATCCCTCCCCGTCCACTTGAGTCCCCTGGGACAGGAGCGTGACACAACTCACTTGTGGCACGTTTTGTGTGTGTGTGTGTGTGTGTGTGTGTGTGTGTGTGTAAATGCAAGCAAAGGGGCGATCCACCAACTGCGACAATAACGGTCACAGATAATGACTCGTCCTCTGGTCATTCCTTTTAACAAGTTTGACTTCTTGGCATTTTATTATTATACTCTGGAAATAAAAATGTAATCTGTGTCCTAAACAACCAGTGTGTTGCAGCTGCATCAGTTTAATGGTTTACTGTAAATTCCTCAAACTTTAGTTCAGACCATGACCTCATCCAGAGGCTTTTGCTGCCCAAACTGGAGCAGGCTAATTTCCTTCCCGCATAGTCAGTCATTTGGGATGCCAATGGGGACTGTGGGAGATGGGAGCTTGAATTCCCCATCCAGTCTGCAGGTGTGTTGAAGCCACTCATGGGACCAAGGGGGGAGTGTTGATTTGGGGGCAGAAGAGTGTGTACCATGGGGAGATCTGGGCTCATCATATTAGTCCTAGAAACACACCCACACCCACAAAACAGATCTCTCTCCATACACGCCTTTCTGACCAGCGCCCTGACCAGAGCAGGGACCGTTAGATGTTTCAGTTTAAGGCCTGAGTGACGCCTGCGCATCCAAGCAACAGATGCCCCCTCCATCCAACCCCCAAACGCTTATATTCGGCCATCTGCTAGGCTATGACCAAATAAATCGTTAGATAAGTGCCTGTTTTATGCAACGTTACCAATTAGTCACGTGCACACGCCTTTCCCCCCTACGTGGAAACGTGGCGCGCGAAAAAACCTACTACAACGGGACCGATTTTGCTCCGGCGTTCGTGTCGGAGCGGAGCGCAGCGGAGCGGAGGTAGTGGAATTTGGGGGTTAGAAGAGCCACAGTTTTGCCAAAGTTACCTCACGAGCACAGCTGTGTGCAGTCGCGCGCACAACGGGATCCATGCTGGGGCACGTGCGAGTCGCGAGAGCTGGGCTGTCAGTGGCGAGTAATGACAATGAACTCCTACTGCGCAGCGGCTCGCCACGCACGAGACTGGCGGGCTTTTATGATACCGAAGCATTTTTATTGTTTTAATAGACTAATTATTTATTAAAACCAAATAAATAGCACATGACAGAGCAACAATCATGGATAAAAGTATTAGTCCCTTTGTGGTCCGTTTACTTCACTCCAGTTCATCAGGTTTAAGCCTATAGAGTACCTGTGTGCCCATAATTGAATCAATCGATTCAATAATCAGATTGTTTTCTAGGGCATGACGCTAAAAATGGAAGACAACAATTGGGTGAACAACGCACACACCTGCTCTTTCAGCACCAAGCTGTCAAAATCATTTAAATGCGCGCAAGAAGGAGCGTCCCAACTCAGCAAACACCGACCAGGCCTGCTCTGAGTTTAATTAGGTGGAAAAATCTTAACCCAACCGACTAATGATCACGCAGGAAGTCGATTAAGATAGCCCAGTTAACCCACGAGACAGAAAAGCGGAACACCAGACATTTTTTTCTTATTTTATGTCCAAAGATGCTGTAGAAAAATCATTGGAAATCTGCGACGTGCCAGATCACGTGACACATTGACAATAAAACGGAGAGTTCTCATTTATGAGATAATAACATGTTCTGGCCTCCATTCATGGTGTGGTGGAACAAACAGCATGCATCAGAGCTTCTTGTGCAATTTGTGTGTCTATTGCGCCAATTAGCCTATTATTGTTCAGATGGGTGAACAATCTTTTAAGACGAGTCGGTAGGAAAGCTTCTTCCGACCTGGAAGCTTCAGCACTGATCACCGTGTGGATGTAGCCTACACGCCTTTACCTACCACCCCTCAGAGTTTGGGTTTACAAAGGATGCATAATGACCTCCCTATTCTGTGAGCCAGGGTGAAACTCCTAGTCACGAGCCCGACACGCGCTTTTGGATAAATTGATGTTGGGTGGGGCAATAGAGGGAGGCGCCTACCCGGCTATAGGCAGAAAACATCAGTCTGAGCGTGCCATTTGGAGATGAAAGTTCCGAGCGCGTGCATGGCTGCCTGACGGACTGAGAAGCACAGTCTGGGACTCTGGAGGGTGCGCGAGACAATAAACGAAGTTGTTCTGGAAATTTATTTTCCATCCTCTGAGCTGCAGTTGTCTCTGGCTGGATTTCCACACAGGTGAGTTTGATCACAGGTTGAGAGGAAAATACGAAGGAAAAGAAAAAAAAAGTTATGTTTACTTTAAACGTGAGCCAAAATATTTTCACCAACAATTTAGAAAAAATGATTAAATGTGTGTTGTATTTAAATTTAAACTAAAATGACATTTTTGTCATCATCATATATTGTTTTTTTTTTTACTGGCACTCATCAGAAATAACTCGCGTGCGCAGGGATTTGAGTAAAACTATATTAATCTGCCCCACTTTTGCACCACACTGATGATTAGAGATTATCCACAATAATTAGGGCATTTTCTGCAAAGTAATAAAGCTAAATAATTGTCCACAATTGGTATTAATAATTATATAAATATTTAATCAATCAGAATGCGTCCAAGTTTTATTTAAATTTTTAAATCTATAAAAATACAAAGACATTTTAATCAGAAAGATAAATCCTCTGATCTGCATTGTCCTAAAGATGATGTAGGCGGCTTGTCCGCATGTTTGTTGATTTGTATGCTGCCTATTTAATCTTTTAGTTTTATAGGCTCAGTAAATCCCGCCGTGTCCCAGATTGGCACCGTCTCTATGCAGCATAACAGCGGGTAACCAAATATTCACCCATGTCAACTTGCAAGAAATATGCCCTCCTATATATAAAAATAATAAAGATTGAATTAGAGTTTTAATTGTTGCAATGGTGAGAGAATAACTCAGGAGAGAGAGAGAGAGAGAGAGAGAGAGAGAGAGAGAGAGAGAGAGACAGAGAGAGAGAGAGAGACAGAGAGAGAGAGAGAGAGAGAGAGAGAGAGAGAGAGAGAGACAGAGAGAGAGAGAGACAGAGAGAGAGAGAGAGACAGAGAGAGAGAGAGAGACAGAGAGAGAGAGAGAGAGAGAGAGAGAGAGAGAGAGAGAGAGAGAGAGGAGAGAAGAGAGAGAGAGAGGAGAGAGAGAGAGAGAGTGAGAGAGAGAGCGAGAGAGAGAGAGAGCTGTCCACTCAGCAGTGCTGAAATGGGACAGAGTTTCTGGAGCCTTTTCATGATTTCTTGTGTAATCGGCCAGGCACTAGCTTTGGACATCAACAAACAAAAAATATGTTCAAATGATTAGATATGCACTATGATGTAAAAATAACATTTTGAACTGTTCTTCTTTAGATCAAAATGATGACCAAACATTTTGGGAAGAGTGACGTGAGCGAGTTGGTGAGTTCCCTCAGCTGGCTGGAGGAGGATGGCAGCTCTCAGGATGGAGATGAAAGTCCTGAGATGAGAGGTCGCCATGACCTGAACGTGGGGGGCCGGATCCGCTCCTACACAGAACTGGGTAGTGAGGACATGGAGGAAGAAGAGGAGGAAGATGACGATCACGAGGAGGAAGTTGGGCCAAATGGAGAGAATGGCCCAAAAAGGAGAGGCCCCAAGAGGAAGAAGATGACCAAAGCTAGACAGGAGAGATTTCGTGCTCGGAGGGTCAAAGCCAATGCCAGAGAGCGCTCTCGTATGCATGGACTGAACAACGCTCTGGATAATCTACGGAGAGTGATGCCCTGCTACTCCAAAACACAGAAACTGTCAAAGATTGAGACTCTTCGGCTTGCTCGTAACTACATCTGGGCTCTGTCTGAGGTTCTAGAGAATGGTCAGTCCCCAGAGAGCCATGGGTTTGTGGATATGCTGTGTAAAGGCTTATCCCAGCCCACCAGCAACTTGGTGGCTGGTTGTCTGCAGCTTGGACCTTCTCCTCTAATTCTGAACAAGCTGGAGGACAAGTGTGGAGGCTCTGGAATGAGTGATGTGGTGGCTGGACATCCCCTCAGCTACCCGTCACCAGGCCTCCCCAGCCCTCCTTATGGCTCCCTGGAAGCTTCACACCTCCTTCACATGAAAGGGCTGAAAGGGCCCACGTACGACAACCCCTCCCCTAATGAGTGCAGCAGCGGCACCCCTCCATACGACGGGCCCCTCACTCCCCCTCTCAGCATCAGTAGTAACTTTGCCCTGAAGCAAGAGCCTTCTCCACACGACTCAGAGAGGAACTTCACGGCTCATCCTGGCCACCACTACCTCTCATCCCACCATTACCCCACCTCCACGGCTGGCAGCTTACCAAGGGGGCCTCAGGCTCACCCGGTCTTTCAGGCATCACGTTATGAGCTGCCCCTGGATGTGGCCTTTGACTCCTTCACCTCCTCTCACCTGATTGCCTCTCAAATAGGCACCATTTAGGGAGTGATAGCACCAGAAAGTGACTAAAGAGACAGAGACAACTACTTTTGTATAAACTGCTGTAAAATGACAACCCTTGAACTGATTGTATAGAAAAATTTGTTTTTGATTTATGTTGTCGAGGTCTCAGAGAGCAGTGAAAGCTCAGAAAAGAGACTCATTACCACAACACAGTCTACCTGATGCAAAATGCACCCGTTTTTAAAAATTATTTATTCTTATTTTGGATTATGTTAGTAATTAGTCTCCAACTATTTCTGAATCTGCCATCCCTCTCAGGTGTTATAGAGGAAAAACATGATATTCATTTACTAAATTAAAATAGATTTGAATAAAGATTAAAAATGTCAATGAACCCAAGAATTAATCCAAAAATCACCCATCTGAAATTGTGCACTAAGGTCTACAGTCAACGTCCCGAGTTATATAAAGCAATGCTTTTATTTATGTCTGTATTTAATATTTATTTTGATAACTTTGCATCTTTTTAGAATATTTTTCTTCTCAACACTGTTTGTCTCTCTGTACTTTGTTGCCATTCCATGGGCACTCTACTGTATTTATGCTATTTATTTTGAAGTCTTTCAGGTTCTTGTGTCACAGTTATTTGTCATGTTCTGTTAATATTTTGCTGTTTCGCACTTAATTGAATAAATAGTCTTATATTATATACTATTTCCATAGAAAAAGCGTGTGGCATGACTTTTTAAACATTTCTTAAATCATATTTCACTAGACGAGCATCAGCTAAACAACAATTTGTCAAGATTGAACTATAATTACACAACCTTTGTATTTTTTACATTAATAATAATAATACTACTACTAATAATAATAATAATAATAAATTGCACTTATATAGCATTTTTTCTAGACATCCAAAGACGCTTTCACACACTCTCACATTCACACACTGCTAGTGATGGTAAGCTACTTGTAGCCACAGCCGCCCTGTGGAGGTCTGACAGAGGCGAGGCTGCCATTTGGCGCCGTCGGCCCCTCTGACCACCACTAACACAGGCAAGTTGGGTGAAGTGTCTTGCACAAAGACACAACAGCAGGATACCCCTGGCGGGAGCTGGAATCGAACCCATGACCCTCCGATCATGAGGCAACCCGCTCTACCACCTGAGCTACTGCTACCCCTGTATCTTATAGTTTAGATGTTTTGACGTTAATTACTGTTGAAAGGTTATGAACTTGTAGCTCTCTGAATAGCCTCCATTTGGAGAAACTAATTAGTTCTGACTGGATTGACAAGCTAGTCACAGTGTCACAGGCTAGTCACAGTGAGGACAGAAAATTCAGTCAACTGTTTAAGAACTAAGCTGAAAATGTTCATAGCAATTCAACCAGCAGTTTAAAATTAACACACTTACACGCACTCACAGAACGTTCTTTTCAGCCAGAATAAACAAAACCAAATGATACAAGTGTAAATGTTTATTTTGAAAGTTATTTGAATAACCTGCTGCAATTTTTTTGGGAGTAGCTTGAAGACCGGGGGTGAAGGTGATGCAGGAGTTAAGTGCTTGCCCCGTAATCGGAAGGCTGCAGGTTCGAGCCCAGCCCAGTTTGTCATTGTGCCCTTGGGCAAGACACTGAACCCCCCTTGCCTGCTGGTGGTGGTCAGAGGGACCGGTGGCACCAGGGCTCAGCAGCCTTGCCTCTGTCAGTATACGCCCCAAGGCAGCTGTAGCTCCATCGTAGCTCATCCCCACCAGTGTGTGAATATGTGTGTGAATGGGTGAATGACTGATTGTGTTGTAAAGCACCTTGGGGGTTCCAGCGTTCTAGAAGGTGCTATATTAAATATAGGCCATTTACCATTTACCACCAGCAATCCATGGGCCAGTGTGACTAGCCATTAGCCCATCAATCAATTCAGAACTAATGTCCTTTTCTCCAAATAGATGATGAAAGACGTTTGCCCGTTTTTTCCTCACAGAAACCTGCTTTAAAAGAGCCGATCCTTCATAAAGGGAATCCTTTTGTCTCTCAAGCCAGTAACTAAAATTTAGCATATGTAAATCAAAGGTTTTGGTGCTGTAATTTTCCAAACACACTAATTATACACACATTTAGTCTCAGTTCCTTTTAACCTTTACCTTTTAAGTTAAATTACAAGCGAGTCTCTCCCCAGTAACTGTTATTGTATTATGAACACTTCAGCAAAAACTCACAGAAAAACAGAATCCTAAACCAATGAAAATAAATAATCTGACTGTTGTTGCTCTGAATTGTTTCACAGTAATTAATGTCAAAATGTAACATCAAAAGAGAATTAATCGCACCCTCTGTTGCAGGATGCAAGCATCTCTGTGTGTGCGTGTGTGTGATGCCATTAAAGACTTGCTCAGAGGTTTTGGGCCATGGGAAAAGCGCTCTGGGGAACAGGTGAATTTGTCAGAGGCTTTTCTGTGACCCCATCGCTCACTTTCACTCACATGTTCTGTTTTCCCATCATTGGCTCATGCCAATACACCGTAGGCTAAAATCACACGTTCACATATAAATAGATTAATTAATTAAATGCCATCCCGAGGTAACAGCACAAGTGTTGCTAGTTAGGGCGAACTTTTTAAAGTTATTAAAACAACAAAATATAATAAAAAATCATCACAAATCCTTTGAGATGAGAAATCAGCTCCCAACACATTTATATCACTCAGCTAACGAACACATCATTGGTTTTGACTTCATTTGTGCAGTTGAAGGACATTATGGCACTTGGAATAAACAAAGAACAAGTCAGCAGAAACAGGCTAATGAGGGTTAGAGATGGTGTGCACAAGTGTGTTTATCCTTGTGGTCCTTTGGACAATCACACTGAGGTAAAAAGGTACTTTGAAAGTTTTTGTCCAAGAGGACTTTCCTTCTCTTCAGCTCTCACTCCAAATGTTTGTCTTTTCCAGTCCTGGCTGAAGTGGAGAACGGCCGCGGAAGAAAAGCGAATGATTGTTTCAGTGGGCGCTGCTGGTTCATTGTGAACGCAGCCTGTTCTTTCTCTTGACCTGTGACCTCGATTGTTGTTGGGATTCTTGTTCAGGGAGGGTAGACAGCTGGGGGAACTGCGGGGGGGGGGGGGGGGGGGGGGGGGGGGGGGCTGGAGGGGGGGCTGATGGACAGCTGGGCCAAGATGAGGAGAAACAGAGGAGCGAGTGAGAGAGAAGGATGAGGGGGAAATAGGGAGAACATGTTGTGGAAAAACAGAAGCGGAGGAAGGAGTGAACAAGAGGGCAGATGAGGTGACAGAGGTCTTCGCTCTTCATTCACAAGTTTGTCCTCTATGCTCTCTTGCATTGGCCTTGGCACGGGAGTGACACATAGCTCCACAGACAGACACTTGGCCTGTGAGAAAGTGCTGGCAGAGTTATCTGGCGCACATCGTCTTTGTTTTGCTGCTTTTTTCTTATGACAAAAAGTTGTAGGGGGCAGGGAATGGGAATTATCCTCTGGAGTCCAAATACACGAGTGGGTGGATATGGAAATAATCCTCGTAAATTGACTTTGGATACAAGATTACAAAACACAGAAGCATGGATACAGGGGATTGGGGCAGGAGCAGAGTTTAATGGTCCCATCAGAACATTTAAGAAGGTCTAGAAATGACACGTTTTTCCAAAGTTTCACATGTCCTTCAGAAAGAGAAGTTTTTATATGCAAAAAGCTATTTCAAAATAAAGTGCTTTGTTTTCTCATCTTGAGTCAGGTGGCTCTGATAGTTTTAGTTTTGCATGAGAAATCAGTAATTTTGTGGCTTGTACACAAAACTTGACAAGTTGAGCATTTTCAAATATATAAAAACATAAAGATGGTGTGTTTTAGCCACAGCGTAGCATAAAGTTGGTTCAACCTTTATGTCTCATTCTGCCCTGCTGATGTTTCAGGTTCTGGGTGTTCTTAATCCAATGGCCAAACACGAGCAGCACAAATGAAAAGTTTCTGATCCATAGGCGCTAGATGGAGGGATAAAGCATTGTGATTAAGACTGTACTGTTGGGGCCATAGGAGGCTGGAAGGCTTTAATCAGTGTCTGTGTGCTGATAATCCCTCTGCCTGTAAGCTGAGGCAAATACAGAGACCCCACCACCCCCCAACGCACACATGCATGCATGCATGCACACACACTCGCACGGCTATGTGAGGTGCAAAATGCAGACTAGTTACACATTTGTTTGTGAGACGGAACAGAGAAAAGGTTTATTTGAAGAGGAAAAGGAGAACACCATTAAAAGGGGACAGGTCATCAGTGTGGGATAACATTCAAAGATGTCAGACTTGAAGTGCAAAACAAATGCAAAAAAATAAAAAGTAAAATGACCTCCTTTCATTGAAATTCAATAAATGAAATCAGGTTGAAGGACATTAGGAAAATCATGCAATATCATGAGAATGTAATATTTATATCCAAAGACTCCCCCCTTCTCTGAACAAACTAAAATGTTTGGAATTTCACCGCAAACCAAAAGGTAAAGGAACTGGTGGCGGATTTCACAACAAAAAAAAAGAAAAAAAAGCTTACTTCAGTAATTGAACAATAAAGGAAAATGTGAAATTTATAAAATGCAGTTTTTTTTTTGTTTTTTGAAATTTATGTGGACAAGTGCAGCCATTTCTTGTTAAGTGAATAGTTTCACTTGGTAGAGGGGCTGTAACTTGTGACATGAAATCTTAAATCCCTACATTTTCAGCTATCCTTTCATCTCATCTCCTTCATAGCTGCTTCTCTTGTTTTGAAAACTGATTAACTTGAAGCACGTCAACAAAAACTTAAGCAGTTACACATTTAAAAGTAGTTATGAAACTGTGATAAAAACAGAAATTAGCTCTAAAGTATGAGAGATTGAAGCGGGCGATTCTAGCAGGCTCATTACCTCTGGTGTATAAAGGTGACAGTGGTGTGCATGATGAAGAGGGGTGGGCCGTCCCCTCCCAGAGTTCCCTCAGACTAAATGGGTGTAGGAGTTAAAGAGCTTCTAATGGGATCTGGATGCTGTCGTGTTTACCATGGCCCCCCTCTGCACGCCCACCGCATTGTGGAAGTTTCTGGGCTTAGGGACTCCACAATGGGCTGAGTGAAGGGACAGATGGAGGTCTTTTTAGACGATGGTACAAAACACTGCCAAGGTAGGAGCGTTGTGGTGTCTGAGAGAACGGGCAGCCCAAACACCCAACTGCAGACATGTTAGAGGTGGAGGAGGGAGAGAAAAAAGACCTCGCACTTTTGTTTATTTTGCTCCTGCAAATTTCCCAGGATCCAGGCTTATTCCACCTGCCTGTCATACAGGTTACATTTGTGCAGAAATGGATGCAAGACAATTGCAATTAGCTTTGAAACCAACATTTGTGCAAACAGATGCAAACTCACATGAAACTTTGTCAGCATAGGGTCATTTGAGAAGGCAATTGATGTCATTTAGGGACGCGGTAGGCCATCGGGGGAGAGTGTGTCTGATAGATGCCCATGAGGAGAGGATGAGGAGGGCAGAGGGAGGTTCTGCTTGTAGGAGCAACAGATGGGGTCTGATGGAAAGCTCAGGTTGTAAAGTTTCTGTTGGTAACATCTGTCTGTCCATCTGCTACATTTTGCTGTTTACAGTTTGCCCAGCAGAGACGAAGCAGTAAACTGATGGAAATGTAGTTTCTAAATTTCAGATCTGAATGTCGCAGCAGTGGACTAAAGTTATATTACTGTGTCTGCAGAAAACATATGGCAGTCATAACCAAAACATTCCCACCCTAGATGGGCTTATTCCTGCAATCTGTTCTGTTTATTCCCGTTGTTCTTTTTCTGGAGCATGTACAGATGGAGCATGTACAGATAAGTGGATTGACACAGAAAACGTATCCAAATCTCGATTAAACTCCCATTTGTAATCAATACGATTCACAATATTTCTGAAATAAACATTGGTCTTCCTCCTCCTCAGGAGTTTAAACGGTTCCAAGAATGTTTCACAACAGAATTACAAAAGTCCAGGAGTTGAAACGTAATGGTTTCATTAGAAATGTCACATCACCCAGGAGTATATTACTTTGTCTAAAAATATTCTATTTTATCTGCTGTGAGCGGATAAAAGAGAATTAAGCAGCTGATCTGGGCTCAGTGGCCAGAGTGTTACATTAGACATTAATCCACAACAGTGGAAGGTTGGAGAAGGGATGACATTTTTAATCCAGTGTGTCATCCACCCAGCCATCCAATCAGTCACACAAGGGGCAAATTACTTGTTTCTCCAATGGAAATAACAAAAAACCCAATTCAGGTTCACCTTTACTAAAATTACATCTAAATTCTTCTAGAAATAGTTAAAACTGCAAAGCTACGAGACTGCTTTCTAGGAAATATGTTGGATCACGGACACACAATGCAGTTTCCAAGCCTCCAAATCGTCCTGCAACGCTTCTTGCACCCTCTCAGGGTCAGACAAGTGTCCCGGCAGGCCCTGTCGGTGAACACTGTCCTCCTATATGTAACAGATGTTACTGGGGCAACAGTTGGTATTGAAAAGGAGGGGCTTCAGGCCATCTGTCCAGGGTCAAGGCTTGAAAAGATGCGGCTGAGATGGTGGCACGTTCAGGAAAATGGTAAGTATTCAGTTTAAAGGAGGGAATATAGCCAACATTGTCATGCTGCTCAATGTGAGCTTTCATATCAGGACGTTTGAAGGTTTAGAGTGAAAGATTGAGACTCCCATGAAGCCTTCTGGAACCTGGGTTCCGCTCAAAAGCACCACCTTGTGATTAGAGACAGTACTACAAAATGTTAAGAATTCCTTTATTCAGTTTATAGACCTTACTTCACATAAAAAAAAACAAATAAAAAAATTATTATATCGATTCCAAGCGTGATTTCAGATCTTCGAGCATTCTGTCTATTTTTTCTCTCATAAATGCCATATTCTTATGACAAATCTTCCTCTAGAATAAAAAAAAGACAAAAAAGCTGAAATTAACACAGCTGCATAATGAATTTAAACTAAAAAGCTTGCTTCACGCACCATGTACGTCTTCATCCTCTCTTTCTCCAAGTCACAGAACTCAGACATGGTTAGCTCAGTGAAGCATTTCTTCATGGATAAGAAGCCACAGTTAGGGGAACGTTTTTCATGCTCATACCTGGACAGAATAGGGAGGACAAGTGTCAAAGCACAAAAAGCAAAGATCAAAATAATGACAAAAAAAAATTAATAAAAAACAGCAGCTTCCTAAAAATGTTGGAAAAAGTAAAGCATCCAACAAGTGTTAGGCGTCCAAAGATAATGTAGGATTTGTTCAGTGGTTCCCAGGGCTGGGTTAGGACCTCTATGGGTGTTGAGATGAAATTATACTTTAATGATTTACAATAAATACAGAAAAAATGGCTGCATATAAATTATCTGAGTTCAATAATGATATATGATACAGTTTAAAATAACAGCATTATCACAACACACATCTTTTCTGCAACATTTTAAACAAATCCAATTTCATTTCCTGAGACCGAAGCTTTAGTTTGGTTTATCGTACTCTACTGATGGATTCGATTTATCGGGCGACAAGTGACATAAAAGTCAGAGCCTGAGGAATGTGATGTTCTTTTCCTACCAGGGATCATCATCTGGCTCCCAGCCCTCCAGCTCCAGCAGACAGAAGAAGCAGCAGGTGACGTCAGGCTCGTTCTCACTGGGGCAGTGGACAAAGCCGGCCGTGGCCATCTGCAGACACAGGAAACCTTTTTATTTACAGCTCATCAGCAGCAGAACGCAACAGGACAGGTTCCAGTGAGGATGAAAGGAAGATCTCCCTTTGGCACCTATCAAGGTTCCAAGCTGGTAACATGACACACAGTGTTACTGATCAAGAGAAGTGTCAGCAGCCCGTTTATAAAGAGATGACGAGATGAGCAGGGGGAAATGCCTGTTCACTGATGAAACCCAGACATGTTTAACCACTAAACAGGAGCCGCTAATGTCTACAACACACATCTAGGGTGTAACAATGTAAAAGGAGGATTTGATTAAAGTGTAGTCTATCAAATCAGGAGGGTTTAGCGTACATCACAAATTCAGTCTTGATTAACTAATAAATTAGTTTAATCGATAAAGCCCCTGTCATTATTATTATTATAATGTTGCAATGCAGACATGTTAAGTAGCATCAAAACACACTAATGTGTTCCATCCTACCTTTTCAGGTGTGCAGTTACAGTCTTCTCTGAAAGGCCAGTCTGTAAAACTTTGCTCACGCATATCAAGACAGTACATTTTATCGTAAGCTAGGAACCTTGTTGTCAGCTCGTCTCTCCTTGCCATGTTTTTGGATACAAACTGACTCAGATTAGTTTGATTTCCAGGGTCGGTGTTGAGGAAGACACATGCTGAACGTTCTGCACACCTGCACAGGTGTTCTTCTTCTTCTTCTTCTTCTGGGGTTTATTGGCAGTTGGCAAACAACGAACGGTGCATTACCGCCACCAACTAGTGGAGTGTGGACTGGAACAGCATTCTCAAAACAAAACAAAACCAAACAGGGAAATAAATAAATAAATAAATAAAAAACCTCAAAGTCTCCCAAACACCTTTATCTCGTTCAAAAACCGAAATAAAATCTGAAAACAGGCACTTCTTGAATGAAGTCTCATTAAATCAACAAGATAGGTGTTCTTCTTCTTCTGTTGGTGTTTTCTTGGCGGCTGCACAGGTGTTTTCACTTTAAACCAATTACTCTCTGCTCCAAGAAGGAAGAGGTGACAAAATTGAAGTTAATCAGTTTTTTAAATGTACATAAATATGGATGAAAGGCACTGTTTTTGCAATTCATGCCTTTCACAAATAAATAATGGACACTGATCTAATTAGAATAATCTCAAAGGGATACTCTTTTTTTGTACGTGCTTGTATTTATGCAGCCACTTATTACCTTTATCATGTTACAAAAATCCACTTTAGTTTTTATGTTTGCCCTAAGAATTTAACATTTTTTTGACCCTTGAAATTACTTTGCGTTCGTTTTTTTATGATAAAGTGTCTCTTCTTTGCATTCTGTGTCTCACATTATTAAGCTGGTTACCTACTACAAGGATACTTTAGTGGATAGATAACTTTTTCATATTTTTAAATCACTTTCTTGAGCCAGTATGTGCTAAAACGACTTTTACGGGTCAATGAAAGGACACCCAGCCTCTACCGCCCCCTGTGGCCTGAATATTCCTCTAGCAACTTCTGAGTTTCCGGTCCGGTCTTTTGGGACTAGATAAAATTGAGCTGCCTGCCATACCTGGTGCTGCAGTCTAGTTTGAGCAAATTTCTTGCATATTTTAAATTATTAACACAGCTGATTTGTTTGATTTAGTGATGAATCACTCCTTTAGAAACTAAAGAAGGTTGGGAGACATTTCAGCTGTTAGATTAAGAACACACAGGGAGGAGATAAATCTTGCTTTACATATTACAGACACTAGAGGGCGCTAAAAGCAAGCTAACTCTGCCCAGTCAGTCAAATCTGACAGATATGTTCAAATGAAGATAATATAAAGTTCCTTTTGCTTTCCTTTCAACTTAGCCAATAAGTTAGTCAAATTCAAGTTTTGGCATCTTAATTATATTTATTCTGTATATCAGATGCTGTTCACTCTCATTTCTCCAACAGTAACCTCCACAAAGGAGATGGGTTCAAACTTTCAGTGACCTAACATGAATTATTATTATTATTATTATTACTATGTTAATCAGATGTTTGTTCTGAAACAGACTTGTCAGAACTGAGTTCAGCCACATAAAAGCCCAACGGTTGGTAGTTAAATTTGATGTTTTTAGTGTAACCTTTGGCAGCGTGTTTATTACAGTGTGAAACAGAGCTGGTTCTGGTCTGTGGTGTGTCTCCGTAACTCTACCCCTCAGGCCCCTGAGTGCTGAAATGTGCTTACAGCTGTACGCCACCGTCCCTCTCCCCCTCTAACCTTATCTCTGCAGACAGCCTGGGGAGGAACAAGCTCCCAGCTCAGAGAGCTCAGAGCTTCTGGTTCTTAGTGTGTGTGTGTGTGTGTGTGTGTGTGTGTGTGTGTGTGTGTGTGTGTGTGTGTGTGTGTGTGTGTGTGACACATTCTTACAGCTACCAGTGCTCTGAGAGATGATGCTGTGTAAGAACTAATTGAGAGTTGGGTATATCTGAGGTCACGCTGTTAGTTGTGTTGAGTGATGTGTGTGTGTGTGTGTGTGTGTGTGTGTGTGTGTGTGTGTGTATGTGTGTGTGTGTGTGTGCGTGTGTGTGTGCACATGCTGGAGGATAGCATGAACCTCTGATTTTCTCCACATGTGTGTTACTGCAGTCATACAGCATTTTTCTGCACCTGTGAGGTAACCATGCCAAGGTGATCCAGGATTTAGGTTATTACTTTGCTACAATTAACGAGTGGACTGTTACAAAAAGAGGGGTTTACCATAACTTCGATCATTTTAATCATCATTCCAATAAAAAGAATCTTTCCAGTCCTGCTATTCTCTATCTCATCGTTTAAAATCTACTCTTTTTCTGACACAATTGTGCTTTCTTATTAAAGTCTACTGGGATAAGTTGCTGGAATCTCCTGCCTTAGGTTTGATTTCACACAGCGCTGACACTGAGAGGGGAGGGAGGAAGAAGAGGAGGAGGTATGAGGTAGAGAGGTGGTGGTGGAGGGGGGGGGGGGGGGGGGGTGGCAGAAGCAACGTGTTTGTGCTTTTTATCTCCACACTTCTGTTATGGAGCAAAGCCATCATAACTGCTGCTTCTAAATGCTGCTCTCCGAATCTCCAGATTAATTCAGGAATTCTGAAAATCTTCCTTCATCTGAAACCTACTTTCATGTTGGAAATCTTTTATTTTTGTAGGAGCCGGAGGTTTTCCAAAGTCACAGAAAGCAGGAGGGTTAGAGCTGCAGCCAATGTGGAGCACAGGTAAGAGATGAACTCTGTGACTGTCATCTGTGCATGTGTGTGTGTGTGTGTGTTTCTGCATGAACACGACTGTCACTGATTTACTTTCTTGCCTCATATGTCCTCCCTGTATGTATGTGAAGCTGACGACCCTCCTGACAGCTCCACCTGTGCTCTGCTGCTCTCATGTCCAGAAAAAAGTGTGCATCTCATTTCATGCACTTGCTTATGAGTTTGTGCATGAAAGAACAAATGTTGGTGTAAAGTTTGCTCACAACGATAAACGCAGCATATGAATCATTACATTTGTTTTGCTTGTTTTATATTCTGGAGAATAGCTGACACTCGTTTTTACTCTTAACTGAGGAATGTGTGGGTTCAATCAAGACAGAAAACTGTGAAATTTGTTTGAAATACAACCAAACACTGAAATTACGTCATTTTAGAGCAGAATAACTAAATATTTGATCACGATTACTCTAAAATCATCCATTATCTAAAGTCATAAAGGAAATGTGAGTCTGGAAAGAAAGACGTGTTGTCCAACAGTGTAAAGTATCAGGGATGTGAGAGAGAATGACAGTCAACATCAACATTCTTCATCCCTGGTAGCCTTGTGGATTCCCAGCCACACCCACCTGAGGGCATTCATCCATTCATCTGGTAGAAACACAAATCTCCCCTTATCTTTATAAGTGAATGACCACTGTAAAATAAAGTGTTTCATTAAAAAGAAAAACAGGTTCACAGCCATCAAATCGTCAGATATAGAATCAAGATTTTAAACCAATGCGTCATTGAACAATTTTTCTCATGGCTGCTTCATCTTTTCGTGGGTGGCCAGTCCCAGCTGTCATACGGCGACAGGTGGGGATACTCACCCTGAACATTTAATGGATCCATCAGAGCCAGCCATGCATGTTCACATCCACAACTTCTGTCAGATTTAATGTTTTATTCTATTAAATGTGATCACTGGATTTATATGAATTCTGTATCATCCATAAGAACTATTGGGACTGGAGATGTTCAGACACATGATGAAAAGTTAAAAAAGAAGACATATATGTGCCAAAACTTGTTTTATTACCATTTTCTTCCAGTAGTAATGAGTCTGATGTGAAACAACAGTTCTTCATTCTTTCTGAAGGTCTTTCAAGGTTCATCTTTGGATTTTGGCAGATTATTTAAACTCATTTTTAATCTCTGCAGATTACTTTTGTTTGTTCACTTCAGTGACCTACCCACACCTGATTCCTTCAGGGATACAAAGGCTAATACGTATAAGATCCATAAAACGACTTAGTTTTAAGATTTAGGGAGTTTGTTAAGAGATTTTCACAAAGTCACAACTTGATCGAACTTCCTTTGTTCCAACTGACCAAAACAAAATCTAATTTAATTTTCAGATGATTAACATTTAGATGATTCTCTAAGAGCCGTTGGCTGAAAACGTATGAAACAGTTGATGATAAGCAGAGAGATGAAGCAGGTCTTGTTTTAACTCTTTGTTGGACTTTATCTGCTTCTCAAAGACTTGCCTCTCATCTGTTTATACACTGTAGATCATTTTATTTAGACCTGGAGCATCTTAATTACTTCTTGGTGGAGATTTTCAGTCAACTACGTATATTTCCATATTTTTCAAAATGTTTTACCTCTCAGCCAAAAGGTTTCTTTTCAGTTCTGATCATGGGTTGGAGCATTTAGGATGCTACATTTTCTCTGTTTTCCAGCACTAAATACTGGACTGGAAAGAAAATGTGAGAAAAAACAGCCAAAGGAAACAAACAAACAAACAAAAGATCTAACAACTTTGCAAGACCTTCAAAAATCCTGAACAACTACTAACCAAATCCTTATAAGTGAAAGTCTGGATGAGGGACAATTAGGACCTGCAGAAGAGACACAGAAGAGTATATGTACGATTATAAAATTATAGCTTTATCTTTATGACTCAACCAACACATTATTGCATTATTCATTTGTTGAGTTTTATATTAAACATTAGAGCTTTGACTGCATCGAACGAAAATACTATTTTAAGTGCATTTGTTACAGCAAATCTAATACATCCAGAAGGTTCTTATGGGAAGAAGGGCAAAATCACATGCTGGCCTTATTTCCTGCATATGTCCTGATCAATAGTTTAAATTTAGTGAGATAATCATCCCTCTTGCTGTAAACTGATATGCCCGTCAGACTTTCTGGCTGAGGACGGTTCAAGGGGAACACAGAAGAGCTTGTGTTCACGACGGGCTGACTTGCATGCAGCCTGATCAACTGACCTTTGACCTTCATGGGCAGCCTCTAAATTCACCATGACAGTGTCAGAGAACACCCAAAGTCTAAAACGTGAGCTGGATGTAAAGGGAATGTCCAGAAAGAAAGGGAAGAGATTTAACATTTCTGGAGAGTTGCGTAGATGTATGGGAGTAAAATCAGATGTATTCATATCATTTATGACTTATTTTGACTGGAAGTTTAAGTCATCGGGAGGAGATCTCTTTGGTGAGTTGGAGAGATTGTGGATAGGCTATGAGTTCCCATGATGGAGAGAAACAGTTTCAGCAAAGGTGAAATGGGCAAATTTTCCATTTTAGTGTTCAGAAGCATTGATAAATCAGTCTGTTGTGCTATATGTTTGTTTTGCTTCCTATTTATGTGTCAACAGAGCTTTGAGAACATAAAATCCCGCTGCTTTCCATGTTGGGATCACCTTTCACTGTGGAACTTTTCCAATCTGCGTTTT